TTTTGCTGCATCCTGTATGTTCTCATAGGCTGTGTCTCCATTTTCAATTGTCTCAAGAAACTTTTTTATTTCTCCTTTAACTTCTTTGATCCATTGGTTCCTCTGAAGAATTATTATTTCCATGTGTTCATGAATTCTCCAGTTTTCCTCTTGTTATTGGTTTTTAGTTTCATGATATTGTGGTCAGAGAAGATACTTGGCATGATTTCAGTCTTCTTGAATTTGCTAAGACCTGTTTTGTACCCTAACATATCTATCCTAGAAAATGTTCTATGTGTCCTTGAGAAAAATGTGTATTCTGCAATTTCTGAATAGAATGTTCTGTATATGTCTGTTATGTCTATTTGGTAGGCAGAGTTGTTCCAATCTATTGTTTCCTTGTTAATTTGTCTGGACAATGTATCTATTCTTGAGAATGGGATATTAAAAGTCCCAAACTATTATTATATTACTGTTTATTTCTCCTTTTAGCTATATATGTTAGTTTTTGATTTATATATTTATGTGCTTTAATGTTGGGCACATAAATATTTACAGTCATTATATCTTCTTGATGAACTGACCCCTTTATATAATGACATTCTTTGTCTTTTTGTTAGTATTTTTGTTTTAAAGTCTATATTGTGTGACTTAAGACTGATCTAAGAATACTGACTGTTTTTTTTTTTTTTTGGTTACCATTTGCTTGAAATGTCTTTTTCCATCCCTTCCCTGTTGGTCTATGCAAGTCTTTAAGGCTAAAGTGAGTCTCTTGTAGACAGCATATTGCCGGATTTTGTTTTGTTTTGTTTTTTTATCCATTCAGACATTCTATGACTTATGACTGGAGAATTTAATCAATTTACACTTAAAGTAATTACTGATAGGTAAAGACTTACTAAGGACATTTTGTTAATTGTTTTATGGTTGTTGTGTAATTTCATTATTTGTGCGTCTTATACTGCTGTTTTTTTTTTTTGTGTGTGTGTGTTTTGATGTCTCTTGGTATGAGTATGATTTGACTTCTTTCTTGTGTTCTTTTTTATAATTACTATCAGATTTCTCCTAGTGGTTACCATGAGGCTTACATAAAATATCTTAAACTTGTAATATCTTATTTTAAGCTTATAATAACTTAACTTCAATAGAATTTGTATACATTACACTTTTATGTCTTTTATGTCTCCCCCTCACATTTTAAATTACTGCTGGCAATTTACAGATATTTTTTGATTTATGATGGGGTTACATTCCAATAAACCCATCATAAATTGAAAATATCATTAGTCAAAAATGTGTTTAGTACACCTAACCTACTGAATATCATAGCTTAGCCTAGTCTAGCCTATCTTAAATGTGCTAACAACACTTGTATTTGCCTACAGCTGAAAAGTCATCTAACACAAAGACTATTTTATAATAAAGTATTGAATATGTCACATATTTTTGAATGCTATACTGAAAGTGAAAAACAGAATGGTTTTATGGTTATATAATGGTTGTTAGTATATTGGTTGTTTCCCTTCATGATTGTGTGACTGACTGGGAATGGCACCAAGCTACCACTGCCCAGCACTATGAAAGAGTATTGTACTACATATCACTAGCCCAGGAAAAATCAAAATTCAAATTCTGAAGTAGAGTTTCTACTGAATTTGTAGCACTTTTGTATCATTATCAACTCAAAGAATTGTAAGTCAAACCATCATAAAGCAGGGACCATCTGTACATGTCTTACATATTGTGTAAGTAGTAATAAATTATTGTATTTATGGTTATAATTATTTTTACAACATTCATTTCTTTTTTAACTTTTAAACTAGAGGTATAGGTTATACACCACTATTACTATATTGCAGAATCTATTTACCATTACCAGTGAGGTTTATGCTAATAAATGGTAAAATATTGATACCAGTAAAGAGTGTTAAGTGACATGTATATATTGTAATATGCAGAGTGACCTCTAAGAAAACCATACAAGAATACTACAAATAAATCAATATGGAATCCTAAATAATAACTTCTTGAATAAATGAATAAATAATTTCTTAATGAACAAATTATCATGAAAAAGTTATATTGAGACTCCTCTTTCCTAATTAAGAGGCAAAGAAAATTCTTCCAATTATCAAGGCCCCCAACATTTATTTACTATTAACCAGTTTTATTCCTGTAAAACACTGATCTTCTGTATTAATTTTACCAATCTGGCACAATTATGATACAAGTTTTGGTTTAGGTAGCACTATAAGTGTATCTATTATAAATAAAATATTAACTCAAAATATAAACAGGCATTTAAACCAAAACCACAAACTTGGTTTATACTGGGAATGTAAGGTGTTTAAATTTTTGGAATTTATTGATATATATCATAAAATTAATATGTCAAACTGAAAATAAATGAAATAGCTAAGAGATGATGAAATGAGACAAAATTCAAAACCATTTCTGTTTGTGAAAAACATTATACATTATAGAAAAGATGTAAAAAGACTCCATATTCTACTGCATGTCTGTCTACTCAGATGCTTTACATGAGTAAAGGATGAACAATAAACAAAAAAAGAAGAGAAAAAACAAGCAATCAGAAACAGTTCACAAAATTAGAAATGTAGACAAAATGTTGGTACTTTTCCCTATTGAATAGGAAAGTGAAAAAATTATCATAGAGTCCTCATAAATTAGTAATTTAATGTTACAAAGAAGACATAAAATTAACAGATGATAGAAACATGCATCATTTCTCTGTGGTTAGGTTTCTGGGATATTAGACTTCCATGCAGCATTGAAAGTAAATGTTATTGTAATGAAAAATTGTAAAAAATATTTCAGAAGTGTTACCTGCTAATATATTTCAAGAACCTTTAAATTGTATGCTTTATTTATATTGGTAATAATACTTCTAGGAATATGCCCTGAGAAGATGATGTTAGTTTCTCATAAATACTTACTTACAATGATACTTACAATTCATATGCATGAACTTTAAAGCTAAATAAAGGTAACTATAAAAACAAGGCTGTGTCAGATGCTATTAGTTGCTTATGTGAAAGTTGCTGCCCATTTTCTTTCTTATTAATAGAACATTGATTTCATTCTGGGTGGCAAGGTGACCAGACTCAAGAACTGATCCCTGATTGGTCTTAGTTAATCATGGCAATACCATTCCCATTTGCCAAGTACTCATTTCCCAGCCTACCTTGCAGTTTATAGATATTTACAGCACCCAGTTCTGGCCCATAAAATATATGGGGAAATCTGGGAGCTTATAAGAAAATACTTCTTCATTAATAAAAGTCCAGCTACTTTGTCCCTGCTCCTTCTTCCTGATTTTGAATAATGGTGTGAAAATGTGATACTTTGAGTTGTGGCATCCAAGAGGACAAAAGCATGAGGACAAAACTTCAGTACCCAAGATGAAAGACAAAAAATGCTTGGATCTTTAATGACATTATTGATCTTCCCAGCCAACCACAAAGCTCCCAGACTTCACTACACAAATAAATGTATTTATGGTTTAAGTCAGTATTCAGTATTATGTTACTTGTAACTTGGTACATCCTAACTGAGTCAGAGATGAACTAATTTGCCAATAGCAAATCTGAGACTCAAACCCATGTGTATCTGGCTCATGTTTATTTTTACTGAGCTATTGTGATTTTTAGCAAGTCACATATCCTCTTTGAGTCTTGGTTTCTTCATTTAAAATGGGGCTTATAGTACTTTCTTTGCGTGACGGAGGGTCAACTGAAATAATGCATAAAAGCTCTTTACAAAGTACAGATTGCTATTACAAGTACAAGCTGTTTATATATAAAGTTTTTGCAGGAGCACAGCATTGACATTCATTTTCTGTGGGCTTTCTAGTGGTGCTGAAATAAATAGCAACCATCGAGGTGTTTAAACAAATGTGCATTTCATCATGGGCCACATTTGGAGAGCTTGGTAAAAGTAGTTTGACAGAAAGACCTATTTTTCTCCCATGAAGTTCTGCTTGCAAATAAGGATGTCTTGAAATGTAACAGCCATGTACATCACAGGGACATTTGTAAGTGACTGCTCTTATAGGAATACATCATTAAGAACAGTATGATTTTAAAATAGATTTTGTGAAATCAAGTAGCTTATTCCATTGGGTCCCTCCCAATGTCCAGCATGACCTAACCTCTGATGACCTTTCCTTGGTCCTGGGATCCTTTGTGAGTGCCCCACTGTAGTACACAATGTTATGTGTAAATATTTAAAATTAGAGTTAGTGCTTGTTTCCATTGATACCCATGGGCTTTAGTCTCTTCATTTGTGAAATAGGGAGGTCAGAAGATGGACAAAATAATTGCTCTGTTTTCTTTCAGCCAAAGGATCATGTCACTCTCCTACACAAAACCCTCCAAAGGGATCCTGGTGCACTTAGATTTTTTAAAAAAGGAAGTTTCTCATCATGGACTTTAACGCTGTACATGGTCTGGCTCATGCCTCCCTTTGCGACCTCATTGTGTACTACCCTCCCTCAATCACCATGTATCAGATGCACGGACCTTCCTACTTTTCCTTGAACATGCCTAGTTCATTCTCACCTTGGGACCCTGCACTAGCTATATCCTCTCCCTGGAAAGCACCTCCTTAAGAAAGGCCTTCCCCTGCTATCTGATCTAAGTAGCTATGTAAAAGATCAGTTTTGATATCTGGTTCCTGAACTTCAAAAGGTGGACCTTGCATTAGTTGACAGAGTTCCTTAATGTCCTACAGTCTTCCTTCCTAGGCTTCTGTGTTCCATTTTTCCTCCTGAAATACCCCCATTATCCCACAGAACCCTTCCCTGATCCTTATCCTGCCAGGTTGACTTCCTGCTGGAGCTGTCACTGCTATTGTCATAATCTTTAGATTCCATGTTTTGCCTGCTAAACTGGATTAGCCACATGTGGAAAGGACAATCCTAATCTTGTTCACCTAATCTCAGTTGCCAGTCTGGTTCCTAAATATTACAGAATTGTGTAAGACTGACAAGGGAGACATACCTTGGAGAGCTCTTGTCCAGGCCAAAAAAGTTTGCAGGTGACACAGTGTCCCCATTGGTCCCAGTATTCATTTTCTTGGCAATCCATGGTGGGAAAGCTGTGGGTGCAGAACACAAAAACTAAAGAGCTAGTGGAAAGGGCTTGAAAGATAAATAGTGGCTTCCATATCACTTGGTTTATGTGTCCTTTTAATTTAGTCTCTGTCTCTGAGTTAGAGGGTTTGAAGAAACCAAACCAAAACAGCTAATGCTGATATAACTATGACCATGTGCCAAGAACTCTATTAAATGCTTTGCATGTAATAATTCATTCAATGCTTGAAATGGCCATATCAGGAATTATTATTAGACCCATTTACATATGAGAAAACTGAGGCAAAAATGCCAAGGAATTCACCAAAGTTCACATAGTTAGTGGCTGCACTGCTTGCTGAATTGGAAAGAAAATGATAAGACAAGGATCTGACTCCTTGCCAGGGGATAGAGAACAACACAATCTCTAACAGTTTAGAACGTACTTTTACATCCATTATTATTTGATCTGAACATCATGTAAAGTAAGCAGTATAGAAATTATCATCCTTCTTTTGTGAATGAGGATGCTGAAGCACAATTCTTTCTCAAAAACTGAATTACCTTTGAGGGTCACTAGCTCTCATAGCTTCTCTCCTAGGCACAGTACAAGGATAGGATGACACAACATGATTAAATGCCCTAGTGCACTAAGGTGTAGAGAATGGAAATGCTACTCAGATAATAGTTCTCAGAATATATATAACAGAGGGCAGTAGCACTAGCATTGGTCTAAGAGTTGGGAGATATGCATTCTAATCGTGGCTTTATATGACCCATATAACCACTCTCTAAGGTTTGTTTGGGACTAAGAAGCTTCCCTAGGACATGGGACTTTCAGTGCTAAAACCGGGACAGTCTCAAGCAAACGGGAATGGTTAGTCAACTTACCTGGCTTTTCTTATTTCAACCTGTGAATATGGATGAGTCACTTTAACTTTTCTAGCCTCAGTTACTTAATCTGAAAAAAGGGACTATATGTTCCACACCTACCTTAGATAGCTTTTTATTTTACAGTTTTTAAAAAATTTGTTATCATTAATCTACAATTACATGAAAAACATTATGTTTACTAGGCTCTCCCCTACCCCAAGTCCCCCCCACAAACCCCATTACAGTCACTGTCCATCAGCATAGTAAGATGCTATAGAATCACTACTTGTCTTCTCTGTGTTTCATGGCCATCCCCATTCCTGCCCCCCCCCACATTATACAGGCTAATCATAATTCTCCCTTTCGTCTTACTCACCCTCATCACTCCCTACCCTCCCATTCTCCACAGTCTCTTTCCCTTTGGTAACTGTTAGTCCATTCTTGGGTTCTGTGATTCTGCTACTCTTTTGTTCCTTCAGTTTTTCTTTTGTTCTTATACTCCACAGATGAGTGAAATCATTTGGTATTTGTCTTTCTCTGCTTGGCTTATTTCACTGAGCATAATATAATACGCTGTAGCTCCATCCATGTTGTTGCAAATTGTAGGATTTGTTTTCTTCTTATGGCTGAATAATATTCCATTGTGTATATGTACCACATCTTCTTTATCCATTCATCTACTGATGGACACTTAGGTTGCTTCCATTTCTTGGCTATTGTAAATAGGGCTGCGATAAACATAGGTGAGCATCTGTCTCTTTCAAACTGGAGTGCTGCATCCTTAGGGTAAATTCCTAGAACAGGGATTCCTGGGTCAAACCGTAAGTCTATTTTGAACACTTTGAGGAACATGCATACTGTTTTCCACAATGGTTGAACTAATTTACATACCCACCATTTGTGTAGGAGGGTCCCCTTTGTCCACAACCTCACCAACATTTGTTGTTGTTTGTCTTTTGGATGGTGGCCATCCTTACTGGTGTGAGGTGATATCTCAATTTGGCTTTAATTTGCATTTCTCTGATAACTAGCAATGTGGAGCATTTTTTCATGTGTCTGTTGGCCATCTGAATTTATTCTTTGGAGAACTGTTCAACTCCTCTGCCCATTTTTTAATTGGATTCTTTGCTTTTTGTTTGTTGAGGTGCATGAGTTCTTTATATATTTTGGATGTCAAACCTTTATCAGATCTGTCATTTATGAATATATGCTCCCATACTGTAGGGTACCTTTTTGTTCTATTGATGGTGTCCTTTGCTGCACAGAAGCGTTTCAGCTTGATATAGTCCCACTTGTTCATTTTTGCTTTTGTTTTCCTTGCCCGGGGAGATATGTTCATGAAGAAGTCACTAATGTTTATGTCCAAGACATTTTTGCCTATGTTTTTTTCTAAGAGTTTTATGGTTTCATGACTTACATTCAGGTCTTTGATCCATTTTGAATTTACTTTTGAGTATGGGGTTAGACAATAATCCAGTTTCATTCTCTTACAGGTAGCTTTCCAGTTTTGCCAGCACCATCTTTTGAAGAGACTGTCATTTCCTCATTATATGTCCATGGCTCGTTTATTGAATATTAATTGGCCATATATGTTTGGGTTAATGTCTGGAGTCTCTAATCTGTTCCACTGGTCTGTGGCTCTGTTCTTGTGCCAGTACCAAATTGTCTTGATTACTATGGCTTTGTAGTAGAGCTTGAACTTGGGGAGTGAGATCCCCTGCCCCGACTTTACTCTTCTTTCTCAGGATTGCTTTATCTATTCAGGGTCTTTGGTGTTTCCATATGGATTTTTGAGCTATTTTTTCCAGTTCATTGAAGAATGATGCTGGTAATTTCATAGGGATTGCATCAAATCTGCATTTTGCTTTGGGCAGGATGGCCATTTTGACTATATGAATTCTTCCTATCCAAGAGCATGGGATGAGTTTCCATCAGTTAGTGTCCTCATTAATTTCTCTTAAGGGTGTCTTGTAGTTTTCAGGGCATAGGTCTTTCACTTCTTTGGTTAGGTTTATTCCTAGGTATTTTATTCTTTTTGATGCTATTGTGAAGAGAATTGTTTTCCTTATTTCTTTTTCTACTGGTTCATTGTTAGTGTATAGGAAAGCCACAGATTTCTGTGTGTTAATATCATACTGAACAGCGAGAAGCTGAACACTTTTCCTCTGAGATTGGGAACATGACAGGGATTGACATGATATTGTACATAAAAAACCCTAAAGACTCCTCTCCAAAACTACTAGAACTGATATCGGAATACAGCAAAGTTGCAGGATACAAAATTAACACACAGAAATCTGTGGCTTTCCTATACACTAACAATGAGCCAATAGTAAGAGAAATCAGGAAAACAATTCCATTCACAATAGCATCAAAAAGAATAAAATACCTAGGAGTAAACCTAACCAAAGAAGTGAAAGATCTATACCCTGAAAACTCCTGTGGGCCCTATAGTATAGAAAAGAATGGTGAAGAAATGTGTAGACAAAATATCAAGGGAAATTTACATGGTATAATATTACTGACCCATCTGCTAGAGATAATAATGGCTATGATGTTTTTAAAGCAAGTCTTACTAAACACAATGCTGGCAATTACACCTGTGAAATGTTTAAAAAAGGAAATCCTGACACCCTATATAAAAGTAGTTTTTTGTATCTAAATGTATCAGTCATCCCAGAAAGCAATTTCTCACCTAATTTGTGGTTGCAACTTGCTACCCAAGGATTACAAAAATCATCTTTTTGTGTGTCCAGAGTTTCCTCTATTAGTGGGTTGTTAAAGAAAAATTTAATAGGTATTGGAGTCTCTCTTTTAGTATTTACTAATATATCAGACATAAATATTACTCTTCCTCCTAGAAGTCCTACCTCTGATGCTCAATTAAATTCACCTGTTAGTACTACTATAATCACTGACTGTATATGCATTAATTGTACTCATGTACCCTCTTATTGTAACTCCACAATCAATGTAACATGGTCTTCTGGATAAAGACTCCCAAGTGGTTGTGTATTTTTGTGTAATAACAAAACGTATCAATCTCTTTCTTCACATTGCCAAGGTGTTTGTGGCATGGGACGTATTCTTCCTGCTCTAATAGATCATTCTGGAAATAATCATAAAAGATTTCTTCGAGCTCTGCTGTCTGATTGTGATGACAGCTTGAAACTTTTACATCCCACCTCTGTTGCAGTTGCAGCTGCATTCATCCTGCCAGTTCCTGGACTTGTCACTGGAATGCAAATTGAGATAGCTAAACTGGCCTGTGTGTATAGTAAGACAACAAATTTGACTGCTTCTATATTATCTGAACTCAATAAAAAGCTAGGAGAAGTGCAAAACTGCAGTACTTCAAAATCGTTCCACTATAGACTATCTGCTGTTAAAAGAACATATGGGATGTGAACAGTTTCCAGGCTTATGTTGTTTTAATTTTTCTGACTTCTCTCAAACCATTAAAAATCAGCTAGACAATATTCATACTATTATTAAGTTTTCACAAATGCCTAGGTTACCTAACTGGTTTTCTTGGTTTCACTGGGTATGGCCCTTAATTGTAGGTCTGCTTTTGTTATGTATCAGTATTCCTGTTCTGTTAATGTGTGTACATAATTTAATTAGTAGTTTAAGACCTATACATGCTTATGTTACTATACAAAACTTATGACAAAGAAATAATCAATTTTCTCACATTCTTCCATTTGCTACTTCTATAACTTTACTTCTTCCTTCCTAAATACAGCCCTTTTCTAGAATTTGTGCCTTATACATAGAATTGCCATGTATCAAAACCCTTCCAGCTGGTGAAGATACCTCAAGACAAGTGCTGGACATAGAAGCCATGAGGCATAAATCTTCAAAGAAGCAAAAAGCTAACCTTTTCAAAGAATACTACTTTTCTCTGACCAACTTTACATCTCCCTGTATAGCCCTGGATGATAGCTGGTTAGCCAGAGACGGGTAAGATTCCTCAAGGGAGGAACAACCTAAGACAGGCACAGTCACAGAGGGGCCATCGGGTGAGAAATTGGGGGTCAACAGAGGAGAGGCTTAGAACCTCACCACCCCCAGTTTTGAGAGAAGTCTTTTGCACCCATGGCTGTTTTGCTGCCCTTGCCCAGCTCAGATCAAAACCCAGTC